TTTTCCTTCTCTACTTCTCCTTCCCAACTTGCTCTGCAGCAATGCTTCTTTTACCTAAGCTAAAGATCCCTGTGAAGCCCCAAAATACTGTGGGGTCTGCTCATCAAAAGGCTAAAGATTGGGACAGGCTGAGTTTGAAACACATAAGGGGATCAGTTTGTACAGGCTGATTGACCCAGTTTGGCTCAGACGTGCCCTAATGAACTGAATGCTGGCCCATGAGGGTGTCAGCTGGACACCCAGCTGGATTCAGACGTATTCTGTTTAACTGTGTGCTTGTGTCTGACTGCAGTTTATTGTTGCTCTGATGAACTGATTCTTGGCATATGAGGGTGTCAGCCTGTCCATGCTGATCAACCTGGCCAGGTCAGGCGTGTCACGTTAATCTGTGTGTTTGTGTGTGTATGCCTGATTTGATGACTGGAGAAACCCAGCCCCATTGAAACTGAGTCCTGCAAGATAGCTCCATTGGGGGTGAGGACTTACAGAAGGGAGATATACACCTCCGTATAGAAACAGAAGTAACACAAGCAGCACATTGATAGAATTACCAAGACCCTAGAAACGCATCCCTAATAAATGAGCACACCCCAAAATAATGGGCAAATCTGGTAACAGCACCCTCCCGTGGCAGGACCCAAGACAGGACTGACCCACTTGAAAGAAATGAAAAGCCCTGAAAATGGGGCATACTTACTGTTTTCAGAAAGAACAGAGCCACACCAGGACAAACTGCCCATGTGGTTTGTCAGCCACTTTTATTGATGGCTGGGAGTGGCGCCAGCAAATGACATCATCAAAAAATCACTGCCCGGCTAATTTAAAAGCTGGCAGTGAAGGAATGGAAAGGGGAGCAGCAACGCCAGAGCCAGAAGGCAAGGCTGGTCCTGGGCTGAACATGGGCTGTGTCAGCAGCCTGACAAGGAGCCAGACAGAGACCCACAGGAGGGGTCCCAGTGTAGCATGAACTGAACTAATGTAGCTAATGTTAACATAGAGTGTAATAATAGTGAAAAGTAACCATGTTAGTCTTTTCCTGTAAGCAACTTGAAAACTCCATATTGTATCCTTCTGCTTGACATAAGTGAATGAACTTTGCATAGTCTTTCTGTATGAGTGTGTGTAAAAGGGTGAATGGTGAGAGAATGGCATAGAGACAGAAGAAGATTCAACTGTTTATGTAAGCAACAAGGTGCCAAATTTAAGTTACCAACCACTAACTAACAAATGGCTGAAGAATCCCTTTGAAGCTCAAAGGCACAAAGGAGATAACAGAAGAAGAAATGCTGCCAGATGGGCAACAAAAAGACTTCAAGGCTAAGATAAGCTGAAGACACAAGAAGAACACCGCAAAAACAGAAGCTGGGCATGGAAAAACCCCAAAGCACTGAAACAAAGCATGCCAATACCTATAA